GCATGCACCAAGGTAGTGAGTGCCCCCGTGTCTAGATAGGGCCGCAGCCGGGCAATCCACCAAAGGTGGGAAAAGGCGGTGCAGACTACCAATGCCACCTGCATCTCCATGGTGAGCATCAGGTCCAAATATATGCCCAAGCTGTGGACCCCATTCTTCGCGGCCAGGGTCACCCCCCCAAACGTGAGAGAGTCACCCAAGCCGCCAGCCACGGGACCACCAACCCTCAGAACTTCTGTCTTGTCTGGGTTCAGCCTCAGCCCATTCTCCTGCATCCATTCCAGTACGGTCCCCAGGCAGCACTGAAGAGACAGGACAGCATCACCTGCAGTTGGTGAAAAGGAGATGTAGAGCTGGGTGCCATCGGCATATTGATGACACGATGCCCCACATCCCCTGATGACCCCTCCCAGCGGTCTCATATAGATGTTAAACAGCATTGGGGAGATGATCGACCCCTGTGGGACCCCACAATTGAGATTCCACAGGGCCGAGACACTCTCCCCAAGCTGAACTCTCTGGGGGCGGTCCTCCAAGAAGGAACGGAGCCAGGCCAGAGCCAAGCCACCAATTCCCAACTCAGAGAGCAGCAATGATTCTTTGCTAGAATGACTGTTTAGTCTATGCTCCAGCTTCTGTCTAATCAAACTGCTCCAGAGCTGGTCTTCTGCCACAAGAAGGAAACAAATCCTCACAACAGATGCTAGAGATGAAATATAAACAACCAAATGAGTCAAACTAAAAATACAAGGAAAGACAACCCCTCTTCCAGGATCCTGCAATTTCTCTGACCTAAGATACCTCCCAAGTTTATGTGATTGCTGGACTACATTAAAAGCTATAAAAAGCCTTGCATAATCAGTGAAGCAATATGACTAAGGGAAGAATTCCTCACTATCCATTGAGACCTGGGACCTGTGTTCCTGTTACTGACATGAAGATTTCACATAAAAGGTAAGTAATGTGAATTTGGAATTATGTATGAGCATCACCTGTAGGTGTGTGGGGAAAAAAAGGAGATCTGCTTGGGGTACAACACCCCAGAGAGGTTGTGCTCCGGAGATGGTCTTGTTTTTCTAAATTAAAATGGAGCAAAACTGCACTCTCCAACCCCTTGGAAAAACTCATAGGAGAGGGGGAAGCCCTTCCAGATAGACCTGAGTAGAGGAAAGAGCATTTGATTTCAAAGGGGAGGAAAGCAGAGCCCCACACCCTAGAGGAACGGGATCTTGTCACCCACGGGCCACCAGCGTTCCAGGTGGTGGAGGAGGAACGTGGCCCATGTGTTGGTATCGCCTTGAGTTACATCAAACGATCACAAACCTGCTCCTGATTGGAGCGTCTCTCTGTCTCTCTCTCTCTCTCTCTCTCTCTGCCACCCCCCTCCTCCCCGCCTCGGGCTTTTCCCTTCCCTCCTTCCAAGCTTGAGCAATGGAGGAACTCTCCAGGGTGCTGAATCAGTAAGCCGCGGCAGAGGCGGCGGCGGCGGCAGCAGCGCCTACCCAGGCTTGCCTCCCAGCTCAGCGCTAGCCCCCCAGCCAGCTGGAGCGCGTCCAACGAGGAGGCCGAGGGAGGATCGCACACCCTCTTGCCTCCCGATGATTGGCAGTCCTGCCTTCTCACCTCGCCCGGGTTGGTGCTTTCTTTTAGCCGCCGCTCGCTGTGTTATAGATGAGGAGGAGCTGAAAAATGCAGATCTGGCACCACACACACACATACACACACACACACATATACACACATGCACGCAGGCAAGCATCAGAATAATTTCACGAGCTGCCAACCCATCGGATTTCCCTCTCCTGGAGGCAGATAGATGCTAAGCCAGAGCGCCGGCTGATTTGCTGCCTTCCTTTGCTCTCCCCGTTCTGATCTACATAATTCATATGCTCCTTGGCTCATCCTTTATTTAATTTTGTTTCTGTTCTCATCCCCTCACCCCCATTCCCTTGCACTCGCTGTCCTAAAGAGCCATGAAGGCAGACACTGTTCCACACTGGAAGACAGCTGGCCTGTTTTTCATGGGGCTGCTTGGTTTTGCCTCTGCGTCCGAAAGAACTATCTACACGAATCATTTTTTGGTTGAGTTTCACAAAGGGGGAGAAGCGGACGCTAAGCAACTTGCCGCGGAACACGGCTTTCATGGGGCACGGAAGGTAAGGTCCTCACCCTTTTTAAAAATGACAACACCCGGGCTGTTTATTCCTGCAAAGTTCGGGAGATCAGTGCATGCATTTTGCAGCGGAGGAAGGATTTGAGAAAAGAGTTCGCTGAAACTCTTCCCCAGCGGAGGATGGTTCCTCTGCTGAATGCCCCACCTAGATATTTTTAGCACGGTCTTTTGGAAGATGGTTAGATGTTCGTGTGTATGTGCACACACTCACACATACATACACATCCAGTCAGGGCATCTTTTGCAGCATAAGGTTCTGTGATGTCCACCAAGTTAGGAAAAATAAGGAGATCCTCACGGATATTTCTTTCATCGCTAAAATACACTCTGGTTCAGAATGCTTCTACCAGGAGCAGAGCATGACCCTCTGGGGTTTAGATCAATACCAAGTGGATCGAAAACAAAGGTATTTTCTCTGGTTGTTCATTTTGCAACCTTTTAATTGCTGGGACAACATAAACGTTCTCCACTTTTATTTTCCTGCTGAAATATTGGCAGAAAGCTGCTGCTGCTGCTTCCTCTTCCTCCTCCTCTTAAGTTTTAGTTTTTTAAGGGGGGACAAGAAGGATTGTCCATGTAAACCTGGAGATTGTTTAGAAAGATTTATGCAATTAAAAGCTGTATGCTAGGAGCTTGCCCTAGGATTAAAACAAAAATGTAATAACTTACGGTATTATACAGTAACCACAGTGCCTAGCTAATGGCAACAGTTTACTGTGCTGTCCAGGAGCAGCAGGGGCTTTTAAGGTGAGACAACCTGCTTGGTGTACCTGTAGAATGATATTGCTACCCATGTTACTGAGGGCTATTCCAGGTAGCCCTCAGGAATTCTTTCTGGTTCCTTTGAAGCAGAAATCAAGTCAATGCTCTTTCCGTATTAATCAAAAGACACTGTCCATTTGGTGAAACTAGAGGAATTGCTAAAAGGTAAATATATAGTTGTATGAAATACTTCTAGTCAGTGCAGTTCCTGGGACCTTCTAAGAAAATCAGAGCAAGTTTCCCTCCAAGACGTTCACAATGTCAGGCAGCCTTGCTGCTTATTCTTTTCTCAGCAGTTATGCAAGAAGGACCTGATCCTCATTTTTATTACCAGCAATGCATGCCTCCCTACTGACCTCACTGAGCATTAGCTCCTGGAAGTGTTTTTGTGCATTGAGTTGGGGAGGGTTTTTAAAATTTTATTTTTAAAGATATCAGATGATAGGAGCTTTATGTGCCTTCCCTAACTTAGGACATAGGGACTAGCAATGTCTCAGGCTGACAGGGGAGTTGTTATAAGAATGAAGGCAAAACCAATTACCATTCTGCCTTAATTGCATGGCTGCTTTGTAGACACTGTGCCATTTGAGATTCCTGTGATTCCCCCTTTTATGAGATAGTGACGTGACTGCATCGTGAGGGATTTGGGGGAAGGAAACTAGAGGGAGATCTCTCTTTTGAAAAAGCCAAGCTCCTTTACTTAAAACCCTCTGGATGTGGTCCTTTGTCTGACCTACCGTCCTCTTACTACTCAGATATTCCCTGCCCATTTTCTTCACTTATTGAGTTGGGGAACTGCCTCCTTGTATTGTCTACCTGTGGGTCCTTTTTATAGCTTGTTTCTGTTGTTTTGCATTTCTATTCTGCCTCTCCTTTCAGGGAGTCCAAGGCAGCATACGTAGCTCTTCCTGCCACGAACCCTGCAAGGTAGGTCAGGATGAAACAGAGAAAATGGTCCAAGGTCAACCAATGCATTTCTTGGCTGATGGGGATTTTGAACCCAGGTCTTTTGAGACAAACACTCTAAAACTGGCCTTTCTATTTGCAGAAGTGACATCCAAATTTACCATGATTAGTCAAAAATGCTGAGCAATTGTGGGGATCAGACAGAAGTATTCATGTGAAGCATACTTTGAAATAGACTACCTGCCTTCTCATGTGTTCTCCAGATCCACAAAGTTAGACCCTTGCACAAAATCACAAGGGTGTAACCTGAAATGAAGGCTGGTTTCTTTCCACATACTTTGCTACAAGGAGCAGGAAGTGGGCGTTAATTTCCTTCTATTGTGATCAGCAGTAACTTGCTTGATCATTATTTCCTCTTCGTCAAAGGAACTATGACTGTAAGATTCGTTAATTTCTACTTAAAACTTTGGCTGCTATCACACTCTCTGTTACCTATGCATAAGCCCTAATGAGCTCGCTGAAATTTACTTCAGAGCAGACATGTATAAGAGTGCATCCTTAACCTCTTTAAAAAAATTAAGAAGTTAACCACTAGAATTTCAGTAGTGTTGTCTGGTACCCCATAAAGCTTATTACCTGGAGGCAAGTATGGCGAGGTCAGTAGAATTTTCTCTCTTGTAAGCAAGCACAGAACTGCAGAATTAGTCTCTAACTATTTCCATATAGGAGGCCCAGGGTATTTAAAAGGATCCCTTCCTCTTCCCTTCCCAGCCTTGTGCAGTTCTATTTAAGGAAAAGGGGGGGAGAGCGATCATATGCATTATTTACAAGAGAAGCATTTGTTTTCCCCATCCTCTGGCTCTGTATGAGGTTACATTCAGCAGCAAGTCCTTGGTCTCTCCTTTCAGGGAGAAGTAGCTTAGATACTTTGACAAACCTGCTCCATTTGAGCCAAAAGCAGGTAGTAAAGATGGCCCATAACCAGGCAGTGCAGAGGGTGAAAGTGACTTTCTGTGTCACTTAATTTTTGTGATTGTCTTGAAGACCAATCCCCAAACAAAGCAAACTAATCTGCATAATCCCAGTGATGAGAGAAACTCCTACTGTGACAATCAGAGACTCACATTGGTTAAGAATTTCCCTCTTCTGGTAAGCTACCTCTAACTCTATTTCTGACACCCTGAAAAATCCCTTAATGGGAGAAGTGGTTCTCTCCTCCCCCCCCCCCCCCGAAACTCCAGCAGTCAACTGGATTCTTATTAGGGAGAAGTCCTGGATTTGATGGTTTTCACTTATGAGGGTCATCTTAAATTGTTAATTTCCCATAACTGTGCAAGGATGGGGAGCATTCCAGGGAGGAAACAGGCCATTTGAAAAGGCAGTTAGCTGGTGATTTATAAATGCTCTTTGTCACTGTACATTGTATTGATTTTAATGAGAGCTAGTGAAAAATGGATACATAATTCTTTAATAATAAGATTTTTCAGCTCCCTAGGAAAAGGGAATGATTTTGTCTTTGTTTCAGTTAATGTTTAACTTCAGGAAACACCCTTCTGGCTCAGTCATTTGCAGATTTTGTTTGGATTCTGTCAAATGGATGTTTGTTTGGAATAAAAAATTGAGGTAATGTGTCAGTCTTAATTGTAGCTTCTGGCACAGTGTTTTATATAAATGAGGGGCTAATATATGTTTTCTGTATATTTTTATCATGTACAGTCTACATACAAAGACTCTACCGCTTAATTTTTAGCCCAGAGGGCTTCTGTATGACTTAGCCCCCAAATGAAAATTTCCAAAGCTAACTAGTGTTTTTCGTCAGCGTGGCATTTTCCAAAGTTTTGTTGGGAACCATATTTCAGATGAATTCCTCCTATGTGAAAACAAGGTGTCCCAGCAATCAAAGGTTAGCCCATTAGATGCTTAACTGTTGAATGCTTTATTTTTACATTTCTCTGTTAGCTATCTGTCTCCATTTGAGACTAGTTTACCTCAAGAACTCAGGGAGGGTTTATTTATAAATCAGATTGAAACTGGCCCGTTTTTTTAAAAAAACAAGTTCTTATAGTTAGAATTATCTGAGATGAATGAAGCCCAAGGAGAAGCAAAGAGGCAAAGGTGAAAACAAGGCATCTGTGTTGGCCTTGGACAAATGTGCAAAGATGAACTGAATCAGGACTGTTGTGGGGCAATTCCAAGGTGACTACAGGGTGGATCAAGAAGCCTTTGCTTACCTTCAGGGTGGGGCAAGACCACAATGTTGTAAGTCTAAAAAGATGTTAAGCAATTTGAACTGAGTTGAAGGAATTGAAAATAATGCGGTAGACGGAGCTGCTACAATCGGAGGAGGAGGTGAGTGACCGGTGAATACCCCAATAAAGCCCAAGGAACTGCCCCACCCGGATAACCCATCCACAGAGATACTAAGAGATGCTAAAACCATAATTTAACTTCTTCCATGCCATCTGGCATTTTACAGAATTATAGGTCAAGGGGAAATCTTGTGTTGCTGTTCAGACACCTTTTTATATTCTGGAATAGTATTCTTTTTCTTTGTTATCTCACTCAGCTCAGTTTATTCAGCTTTACAAAAAGTGATTATATTATTTGGATTTAGTGTATGTGTGTGTGTGTGTGCATGTGATGGTGGAAGGATGATTGTTGTGGGTGATTTGAGTGGGTAGGTCACACAATTAGAGCTGTCTGTACCCTCCAAGGATACAGATATTTATGTCCCACCCCTTTCCCCCCAGGATTTTGTGGTTTTAAAATAAGAGATCTGGAAATGCACAGATAATGTTGCAAACCTGGACACGGACAGGGTTGAAATTACACTAAAGGGTACACCATGGGTCAGCCCCAATCTGCATGCCCTTTAAGCAAGTGTAGAATCAGTCTTAGTGCTTCTGCATACAATAGTAAAAACCCACAAGATAGATCCGTATTAACTTATAAGAATAGGCCAATTGAAACTAGTGGGACTATCAGTCATGAGCAATGTATTCCGTTAATGAGTCTATTCTAGGCATGAAAAAGTCAGAATTCAATCCAGCATTCCAGAACTTTTATATAACATGACAGAGTCATGAAATCTTAACTGCTGTCTATCTAGAATCCTTACTCCAAAAATCTAATCAATGTTCGCTTTTCTCAAGGAGACAGTTTTTCTCATAATGCAAAAAATATATAATAGCTATTTGTGTATCTTGCAAACCAGCACATTACAACACTTTCTACTGGCACAAACCCTATAGATATATGTATGTGCATACATATACTTCCGCCCATTACATGTTCTTTGTCCAATACACAACAACC